GAATGCCTGGAGACCACAGCCAGCTCTGGGACAGACTGAGGCTTCTGCCTGTCAGGGTGACAGGGTCATAGTGGTGGGACTGGCTCTGTCTGGTGGGTTTAGGCTGCCTGGCTCCAGCTGGAGTCCAGGCTCCATCCCACCATCACAGGGTCAAGGGGACTGTCCTCCCCCTGCCTGTGTCCTGCCCCACAAGGGAGGGGTTTTGTCTCTAGGCCAGGGCATCTGCAAAGTCTAAGATCTTGCGTACCAACCTGCTTGGGTAACTGTGAGCCCCCTGCCCCTCATCTTGCCTAAGTCCCACCAAGCCTTTGACAGGTAGGTGGGATAAAGCCATGGAGGGCAAGGGCTAGCATGCAGAGGACAAGAACCCCTGTGAGTGTTGCCAGCCTAGTTGGCCCTGAGGCAGATCCCAGAGATATGGCACCACAAGAGACTCAGGACTACCAGGTTGATAGGGCAAGGGTGCTGTCCTCGTGGCCAGAGTGAAAGCTTAGCACGTGGTGAGGTGTTCTGAGCTCCCTTCCCACATTGTGGGGCCCAGTCTTAGGATGGGCTGGTTCCTGTGTTCCTGCTGAAGGCACTGACTCCCAGGCCCTTCACTGGTTGTGCCATAAAAAATTGGGGCCACCACCAGGGGCAGTGCAAGGACTGGAGTCTAGCAGGCAGGGTCCAGCCTGATTTCTGCCACTGGAAAAGTTCCTGACCATTCTGCCTATATCCTGTTTTGTTAAACAAGATCACATACAGTGACTGGGTGGTTTATCCATTATCACTGGTCTTTTTCCTAAAGGAGGTGCCATGAACTATCACTTTAGGATAGTGGCCAGGTCAGGGCTGTCCTAGATCACCTGGTTCACCAAGGTGCCCTTGGGGTTCTGTAGACTGAACTGGCCTGGAGTTGAGGTTGGCATGGCCATTAACTGAGAATTTGAGCAGGCCCTCTGCAGCAGGGGAGTGGCCCCCTCGCTTCCCCTGATCTTGACCATGATCCGACCCCTGCAGTAAGCAGGACTGAGAGGCTGGTGAGCCCTGCTGTACAGAACAATTCAGCAGAACTTCAGAGCCACAGACTCCACCCCCAGCTAGTGAGTAGAGAAGCCCTACAATCTGCTGGCCCTATAGTCTTTGGGCTCTGCTAAGAAGCGAGTATTCCATTATTAACGTTTATTGTTATTTTTAATCAGCTTAGTTGGTCATCTGTTGTTACCTTGGGTGTAGTAGCTCCTTGAAGTTTGGAACTACCCTGGATTTTTAGGTTGGTCTTAATTGTATGCAATCAGAAGTCCCTGAGAGGCTTCTGGCTGTGGTGGCTGGGTATCTGTCCCATGGCTCCTGCCATCTGCTCTGGCTACTGCATGGGTTCACTGTATGTTTGAAACCTGCCAGGGTCTGCACTCTGGGTGGAAGACATCCACATGATTCATTGGGCATGGGAAGAAAAGGAGCCAGGTTTGGAACAGACTGCCAGGACTCAGGCCTGTCTGGCCTTGTGTAAATTGGGGCTCCTGGGTCTTTGGTCTTGGGTAGAAATGTGGGTGTGTGGAAGGGTGGGGTAATGACACATAGGTCAGTGTGAAAGGGGTCTGGGAGCCAGCCTTGTTCTATTTCTTCCCTGGCATCTGTCAGCATTTCCCAGCATCCAGCACCCAAAGGTGCTCCACACACACACTCATCAAATGAGATGAATGAGGCAATGAATGCTGGCTCTTTCCCCTCATTGGGAGTCTGAGGTCTGGGGTGGGAGTAGGGGAGACCACAGAGAGATGTAGGGGACAGAAGATGCCTGGCCATGCTGAGCCTGGGAGAGGACAAAGAGCAGATTGTGTTGGAGTGGGATGTCCTGGGTAGCTGGGGGGCGGGTGTCAGGCTTACCTGTGCAGTTGAAGGCCATGTTGCCCAGGGTGGGCCTAGTAGCATTTGTCCTCATGACCTTGAGCCATGGTGCCTGGGAGTGGCACCCAGCTGCCTGCCCCAGTGCCCTTTGCTGGCCTAATGACAGCTTGGGTGGAGCCCAGAGCCTCAGCCATAATCTAGTGTCCACCTAGCCACTGGCACCCAGAAGAAATGATAGCCCACTGGCCTGTGGTGGAGTGGTGGCCTGCTCAGGCAGTGCTCGTGGCTTGCCAGATGGGCAGCTTTGCTGTCTTCCTTTCACATACTTCTCCATTCTTTTGCCTAGTTTTGTCAAAGAAACCGGAGAGGCAAAGTCATCGGAAGTACTGACTATGGTTAGGAGAGTAGGGCTCTGACTTCCATCATTCTTCACCTACTATTCAGTTACTGCTTTCTGCTGTCATGAGATATTGTAGATCAATTCTTGGATAGCATTACATAATCAGTACTGCCTGCTTGTACAGTACAGTAATTTTTGCAGGGTGTCAAGTTTCCATAGTACTCCATGCTCCCAGTACAGCTTTTCTAGGGCACCATTACGGTGTCAAGTTTCCATAGTACTCCATGCTCCCAGTACAGCTTTTCTAGGGCACCATTTGGGACAGGGTGAGTTCTTTTATAATGAAAATATTTTTTTCCCTAGCAAAACTATTTATTATGTTTTATTATTTGTAATAATTTTGTTTTTCTCTATTTTTGGTATTACTATTTGTGGTTGAGTTCTCTTCTCTCCATATCCATTCGAGTCTTTTAAGAAATTATATCTTTTTGTGGTATGAAGTAGACAGGTGAGGTTGGTCTTGGGGAGGCCTTGGTTTGGCAAGTTGTGGGGTACCGTGCCCCACAGAGCACTGTTGGATGTGTGTGGGGAGGGCTGTCTGTGTGGCATCAGCTGAGCCCTGGGGAGCACGCTTGCAGCCAGCTCATGTTTCTCAAGGTCCTCAGTGGGGAGAACAGGTGCCATGCGGCGGAAACCTAGGCTCGCTCCTAACACCTCTGCTTCCAGGGACAGCCCAGGCCTCGTGACCAGCTTAGAGATGGCTCCTCCTTAGAAGGTGGCTTCCCTCCCTGGCAACATCTCCATGTATAGAGGAGACCTTGAGTCCAGGCAGGTTTAGTGCTAGTTCCAGGCTGTACCCGGATGACGTGACCCTAGGGATCAGAACTACGCCCTCCTGCCTTCTGGCCAGCTCCTCCAGCTTCCTACTGCCTGGTCTTCTGTTTAGCGGCGTTCTTGCTGCTTCTCACCCCAGCCATGGGTTCTGGGGAGCACTAGAGAAAAGGACAGATAACTTGGGGAGTTACGGAAGGTAGAAAGCACAACAGCTGCCAATGAGCAGTGAGCTCCCATTGTTGGAGGTGAGTGATCTAGCTGGGGATTGTGTGGCGTGGGTGATCTTTGAGGCTCCTCCAGACCTCAAGGGCTGAGATTCCATGATGGGTTCTAGATGTTTCTCAGATTTGGACCTCTGCCCAGAGCATTGGGTCATTTGTTCTTTCCACAACAAGTGGGGAAAGTCTTGGTGCCTTGTGTGTTACGTGGGGTGGAGCCAAAGACTTCATCCTCCCCAAGTTAGGATACCTTCCCTGGGGCTGGGACTTCCTGCTCTGAAGGGCATGTGGCCCAGGGGAGAGGGGACAGCACAGGCAAGCAGGAGGGCAAGGCACTATCTCCTTTGGAGCTTTGGGGCAGGGGCATGAGGGCTGGAGTGATGTCCTAGGGGAGCAGTGTGGGCTTGGCACTCTGGCCTCCCCCTTCCCCTAGCAGGGCAGCCTCACTGGCTCTGGCAGGGCTCCAGGAACGACTCCTGCTGTGGTATAAATAGATTTCTCTGAAAGGCTGGGGGCTGCGCCAGCTGCAGCAGGTGCCCCCAAGCCTGGCCAGAGGCCCCAGGCAAGGGACTAGGCCCAAGGTGGGGGCAGGCATGCGGGCTATGTGTACAGCCCAGGCACCATGGTGGGATCTGGGTCCTGGTCCCAGGTCCCAGAACTTTCCAGGTCCTGGAACTTGCCAGTATCTCTATAAGAGACCCATTTATGGATGAGAAAGTTGAGTCTGGGTGGCAAAGGGGCTGGGGTCCAGATGAGCACGGTTCTAGAGGCTCAGCAAATCCAGCTCCAGGTATGGCTTTTCTGTTCTTGGCCCAGTGACTTGGATACACTGTTAGCTTCTCTGAGCTAATGTGATTTCATTTCTCCCCCACTGCCCCCATGCCTCAATGGTACCAGTAATTGAACCCAGAGCCTTTTCACTGAGCTATATGTCTAACCCTTTTTAATTAAAATTTATTTTAAGACAGGGACACCACTCATTCACTAAGTTGCCCAGGCTGGGCTTGAACTTGCGATCCTCCTACCTCAGCCTCCCAGAGTACTGGAACTACAGGCATGCACCACCAGGTCCAGTTCTGGGTTTTATCAGTATAGTATGGTTGCCGCTGGTGTCTGGTGGCACAGCGTCCCACCAAGGTGGTCCAGGTGGAGAGGGGCAGGGCAGCAAGTGCCAGAGCTGATCCATCCACTCCTCGGGCCTCAGGGAAGAGGTAAGAGCCAAGGCCTGCCTTGGTGCTCAAACTCTGCCAGGGCAGGGCCTCATCAGGGGGCTCACCAGTGTGGGGGTTCCAGGGCCACCTGGCTTGGAGGGGCAAACCCGTGAGACCTTCCCCTCTGGGTACAGCCACCCTTCCTTGTGTCCCGTGCCTGCCCACTGGGGATGGCAGGAGGAAGGGAAGAATGCACGGCTGTGCCAGGTTGGGCTAGGGGGTGCTCTCTAGGAGAGCGTCTGGGGGGGTGTGTACTCTGCTGGGCCCCTGGCCAGCCTTCCGGGTCCACCCCCTCCCTGTGCTGACCGCTGATTGCAGGGGCCAGGCTGTCTGTCTGGGAGCTGGGCTCACAGCTAAGTTCCCAGCAAGGCAAGGCCTCAGGGGACCCAGCGTACGGGGGACTCTTAAGAGTCCTGGGCACCCCACTCTGAGGGCCTCCGAGGCCAGGGCAGGTATGGAGGTGACAGTTACACCAGGTCCCACTGGAAACCACAGTCTGGGGAGCACGTGAGTTTTTGGACTTGTGCTCCGGGAGGCCAAGCCAGGGCACTGTTGGTGGGGGATGTTAGGAACCTAGGGGGAGATCAGGAACCCAGGGAAGAGTCTTTTGGGGCTATGCTAGAGGTCTTCATGAGTGGGGCATTGTGCCCGGAGAGGGGTGTGGCAGCAACTCCTGGGGAAAATTCTGCCAGGCCCTGCAACCTGGATTCAGTGCCTCAGTTTCCGCAGCTGTCTGCTGGGAGGATGAACGCAACCACCCTTGGGGGTGTCCTGAAGATCAGGTGAGGGGAGAGCAGTGTGTGCTCCTTGCTGTGGGCTGACGAGCTGGGCAGGGACTGCAGGGCTGGGCGATCCCCATGCTCACTGGGCCGCGTGGACTCTTGCCGCCCTCCTCTCTGGGGCGACAACCCTTCCTTCCGCTTGGCCGGGCAGCCGGCCCGGTGGTCAATGCGCTCGCGGAGGCCCAGCGGCCGTTCCCCTTCCTGCCGCCGGCCGTGCTTCCTCTTCCTTACCAGCTCGCTGCCGCCCTTTGTTTCCCGCGGGCCGGGGCGCGGCTATCTTTAGGCGGCAGGTGCGGAGCCCGCT